TGCATATGTTTGCGTGTGTGCGATGCACATAGAGTAAACACATCTAGATGTGTATAAGAGACAGCCCTGGTGGTGTGCAGCCCCCCGTCTCTTTCTTGTTCTCTTTTGCTTCGCAGATTAAAAGAAAAAGAGTTGTCCGGGATCCGGGACAACTACCACACATGATGCCCGGACAGGACAACTGGCAGCCTAGCTATTCATGCCAAATTTGTGTGGCTCTTTCTACAGCCACCATGGCCAACGGTTTATGTCATCCGTCATGCTCAGATTGTAACAAAACGATCACCGACTGTTTTATGTTATTTGTTATCAGGACGCCAAGAGCAAGGAGGAAGCGAAAGTCAAAGCGGATCTGAAAACCAAGGATAATCCAAAAACGAAATCGGAAGGTATGTATAGGAATGAAAGTGGAAAAGAAGAATTGTGATTATCCAGACTTGGAGACCAGACCCATTTTTTATTATTATTATTTTTTATTTTTTTCCGAATGCGAACCAGACCCATTTTGATGCTGCATAGTTTGGACTAACTTGATGCCAACTGTCTCTGTGGAATCTTTTTTTTTTTTTGGGGGGGGGAAATGGGCCCTCATGTCTCTGGCTCCTTGCCCATTTTCGGGAGAATCAGTCCGGTTCGTATTCGACCGACAAGTCCGAAGAATACAATGGGATTGATGCAGCATGGAAAAGAGGATCTCTTTTTTTTATTAAATTATATGTTTTCAATTTTTTTGCCCTGGGAAACCAGTTTTATCAAGTTGCTGAAAATGGGGCTGAATGTCCCTTACATCATGTACACATTCCACCCTGCCCCCCGTTATGGCTGAGGGACCCTGAGACAGTGGCATTGATTGGTTCGTCGTGGAGGAAGGATTTACCCCTGCTCATCCCTGTTATATCTTCAGTTGTTAGTCCTATTTGCGTTCTAAACACTTGGTGGCTGCTTTCCAGGAGCCATAGCAGTGAGGTGTAGTACTCTAGATCCTTGTTGTCTGTCTGTTTTTGAAGACCTGGAGCTGTTACTTGTGTCCTGTTTAAGCAGTTCTGCCTCTGGTGCCTGCTTTTCTGCCCTGCCCTTTCTTCTGTTGGGTTACCTACATGCGAGTGTTAATCTAGAGTTAAGCCTAGCGGTCTTCTAATCCTGCATCTTTTCTGTCTAAATGTTTTACCTATACTCCCTTTTGTCCTACTGCAACTCTTTGAAGGCTTATCAAATGGTGTGGCCTCGTCGTTTTTCAGGGGTCTATCCCCTCTCTATTCACGACCTATCCACAGACTTTCCTCGCTTCCTTTCTACGGACTGGGTACCTTTCAGTTTATCTTGTCTGGTCTTCTTAGCTTTTGTTTCCCCCTCTGTGCACTGATTACTGGCCTGCTGTATGTTCTCCGTCTACGTTATCCTTGCAAACCAGAAGACTCTCTTCCCTGGACTGTTTGCCTAGGCACCCTCTCCTCGGCGCGGTCCTCTGCTCCTCCTCCGTGACCTCTCTTTCAACTCTACTGTCCAAAGTCCTATGCTATCACTGCTCCCCATCCGTGTGATGATTTCAGCAGGCTGCCAGGCTGTCAAAATTACCATTGGTAGTAACTGGTCTCTGCAGTTGGAGACATTCGAAAGGACTTGCGAAAGGGGTCATCATCACAATCTGTGGTATCTCCCAGTTGCTGGTGAAGACCACCTCCTGTCTTGTTCCTTCCCCACCAATCTCTGTAAGATTACTCTGCATTTCTCGGAATTGCGTCCATGTGTTTCAACGAAATTGATTGTCGAATTTGAGACATTACTTTTGCCCGTGCATCTTCTTTGCAGGGGAGATGTACACCTGCCCATCCCACGCCTACTCTCCTGGAAATTATTTTTGTAGAGAGAAAAGCTTCTCCTCCCTCCTTCCTCCTATCCGGAAAGAAGCTCCTCTGTTCCTTTCTCGCTCATTTGGACTACTTTCCTCCGCTTCCAAACACGCCCGTGGCCTGCACCCCCCCTGCCACGTACAAACAAAAGTCGGAAGTGGAACTTCATGTCCCAACCTCCATTGGTTTGTGCAGTGTCCTGTATCTGGACCCGAAGAGCTTGTAATTTTGCTAATTTCATTGATTATATAATTCGGCCACCCCTAGCTTCCCCATCCAAATCTCTCATAATGCGTCATAATCAATTTCTTTTTGGCTGTGTTTCATTTGCTTTGTGGACGATATGCAGGCGCTGATGATAAAATTGCTGAAGCAAATGGGGTAAGGAAGGAAGAAGAAAAGACGGAGAGCGAAGTGGATGAAAAGGACAGAAAGACTGTGGTCGAGGAGCCTCCCACTGGTCCAGCTGTTGTCGTATCCACCAAAAGAACCAAGCTGTCGAAGGTTGGTTTGAACATCTGTAGAGGCTCTGGTCTTATCCCATGGGGATTGTTTGGACATGGCGCCTGGAATAATAGATAGATTGGCTCTTAAGTCCTCTTTAATCCGATTTGTCCGGTTATTTGATAAGCATAGTGATTATTTGGTAAAAGTTACTTGCAACCGCACGAGCCGCTCATTCGTGCGGAGTTCTGTACGGAGTTCTGTGCGGGGGGTGCCTGTGTGGAATCGTGCAGGTTTTTTATTTTTATTATTACAAGTGGACCCGCCGCAGCGACGCTGCGGCCGAGGAGGGGGGCGACCAGGGGGGCGGGGCTGTTGTTGTCAGACTGCTTGGGCTTTTTTTTTTTTGTGTGTGTGTGTGTCGTCATATTGACTATAGACTCAAAAAAAACATGACTGTGGCAGACTGTTTCCGACTGATCAGGAGGTTGTGTGTGTGTGTGTGTTTGAGCTCTCTCTCTCTCTCTCTCTCACACACACACACACACACACACACACATCCTATCGATGGAAGTAGCCTCTCTATCTGTCTGTGTGCATGGCCGGAAAACTCTCTCTCTCTCTCTCTCTCTGTGACACACACACACACACAAACACACACACATACACACAAACACACACACACACACAAACACACACACAAACACACACACACACACACACACGCGCCAATTTGCAAAATGAGAAGGAATCTTCCGAAAGAACATCGGAAAAAGAAATCCCGGTGTGAGTATGGACTAAGGAGCTGTCGGATGCAAATGTCGGCCCCCCCCCCCCCGCTCGCACGCGCGAGCGAGCGAGCGAGCGAGAGAGAGAGTGTTTTCCATCCATAGGATGAGCAAAACGGGAATGAATCTGTAGCTAGAACATGGAAATATGCACTGTCCTGGATACTTCCATTTTGCTCATTTCCTGATGCGTGGCAATGTCAGTCTGTGTGTGTGTGTAGGATGTGCAAAATCGGAATGAATCTTCAGCCAGAACATGGAAATATACTGGTCTCATGGTACTTCCATGGATACGATGAGCAAAATCGAATGAATCTATCGCTAGAACATGGTTGATTTGATTGATTGAAAGACAAAAACAAAAAAAGGAGAACAAAAAAGGAGAACGCGGCGATCTTTTTTTTTTTTTTTGGATTGTTCAATCAATCAATGTCCACTCCCCCCCCAACTCCCGCGCCTCCTCCACCCCTTCCCGTTTCCCCTCCCGCTCGTTCTCCCTCTCCTCCCACTCCTCGTCCTCTAACTCCTCGTCCACCAAACAACGTGACAAAGATCCCGCCATAACCCCGCTCCCACTCCTTCTCCCACTTATCCCCCGTCTCCTCCTCCCTCTCCTTCTCCCGCTCCCCCTCTTGCTCCTCCTCCTGCTCCTGCTGCTTCTGCTCCTCCCACTGCTTCTCCTGCTCTTCCCCCCCTTCCTCCTCCCCCTCCTTCTCCCGCTCCTCTTCGCTCGCCATAGCCCCGCTCCCGCTCCTTGGCCGTCCCTTATCCCAGTCCTCCTCCGCTCCTCCTCTGCCCCTTCCCGTTTCCCGTTGTGCTCCTCCTGCTCCTAACCCCCTCCCCGTTTCCCGTTGTGCTCCTCCTGCTCCTAACCCCCTCCCCGTTTCCCCTGCTGCTCCTCCTCCCGCTCCTCCTCCCGCTTCGCTCCCGAACGATCGCCTGCGCCCGCGCTCGCTGAGTGCATGCCACCCTCTCCAACCGCATGCCACGGTCCACAACCCGCACGACTCGAACGGGAGCCGCTTCATTCCTGGCCTTTTCCGACCCGACCACTTCCTCCCGCTTTTTTTTCCCCTGCCCGCTCTCCCCGACTGCATCCCCCTCCTTCTCCCGCTCCTCTTCGCTCGCCATAGCTCCACTCCCGCTCCTTCCCCGTCCCTTCTCCCAGTCCTCCTCCCTCTCCTCCTCGGCCCCTTCCCGTTTCCCGTCATCCTCCTCCCGCTCCTAACCCCCTCCCCGGTTCCCCTGCCGCTCCTCCTCCCGCTCGTCCTCCCGCTTCGCCACCGAACGATCGCCTGCGCCCGCGCTAGCTGAGCGCATGCCACCCTCTCCGACCACATGCCACGGTCTACAACCCCCACGACTCGAATGGGAGCCGCTTCGTTCCCGGCCTTTTCCGACCCGAGCACTTCCTCCCGCTTTTTTTTCCCCTGACCGCTCTTCCCGACTGCATGCCACCGTCCACAACCCGCATGGCTCGAACGCGCCTTTTGCTATGCGCTTTTCGACGCTGCCACTTCCCAACACCGCCGCGCCGTCGGTTCCCCCTTGCCCACTGCCCGAGAGCGGTCCCGCGCGACGGCACCCGGTTTCTGTTGGGCCCCACGCGAGGATCGCTATTTCCTTTAGTAGTATAGAGATTTTATTTTTTATTTTGGGAAGGGGAACGGGGGGGGCGTATGACAGGAAGATGGGGATATGACAAGGAGAGGGGGATATGGAGAGGAGGAGGATGTGGACGAGGAGGACGACGAGGAGTGGAGATGGGGGAGGAGAAGAGATGGACGGATGGAAAAACGGAAGGGCAGGAGGAGGAGGACGAGTGGGAGGAGAAGACATGGACGGCGAGGAAGGGGAGGACACGAGGAAGGGAAGGAGACGAGGAGGCATGGAAGATGAGGAAGTACGAGGAGGAGGAGGAGACAAGGAGGATGAGGAAGRGCAGGAGGAGGAGGAKGARCAGCAGGAGGAGGAGGAGGAGGAGGAGGAGACGAAAAGGAGAAGGGAGGAGGAGACATGGAAGATGAGGAAGGGGAGGAGGAGCAAGGTGAGGCAGTACTCCTGTAAAAAAAAAATTCATCTCGCTTATAATTTTGGAGGGGGGCCTCAAACGCACCGTTTCGACCCCGACCTTTTATTTTTTTTCTGAGGGGGGTGACGGGTCGTTCTCCGCACACGTGTGCGCCGCACGGGATCGGTTGGGCACGTGCGCCGCACGTAGGGAACCGCCCGCACGACGTGCGCTTGCATGTATGGGTAAAACTGATCTTGGCACATTGCCTTGGTTGATATCTATTTCGGTTATTTGGCAAAACTGATCTTGGTATGTGACATGCAAGGAGTGCATATCACATCTTCTGTGACAGATTGCTCAGCGCTGATACACATATTCACTGATCCATTCCATCCAGACTCACATTTGTTTCAAGGAAGCAGTAGGTATCCACCCCTCCAATCACCCTGATGGTAGACTCAGGGTTGTATTTTGCTATGTTATTAAACTCAGACAGTTGGTGTCAGGTGCCACAGTTGTCATCTCTGATTTCTGTCCTCTTCAGCGAGGATAACAATTGCCTTCAGTAGTCAGACATAGGGCCTCGCTCCAAGGCTCACCACACGCACAAAAGACAAACAATATAGCGGTATATCTTCCCATGTTCTAGCAGAAGATTCGTTCTCATTTTGCACATTTGGTGAGTGGTGGAGCGAGGCCAATATTGACGTTTTGTATGCAAGATGTGGCAGTCTCACTGAAGCTGCAGCGTGCTTCATATGGCAATGAAATATTTGGACTTCTTGGTCTGAGCATGTCTGATGTTTTGTGCGCAATGTGTTTGTGGTTCATCAATGTCATGCACCTGGCAGATCCGGTCAATGAGCATCTCCTTGGACGGGCTTCTGGATTATGTGGAGGATGATCGAGAAGAGTGTACTTTCGAGGTTTGTTGCAGCTGACGAATGATTCAGTTATCCCAATATTTGTTTATCTTATTGATGTATTGTGCTATTGAATCAGTGTGTTTATCTCATAATTCACTACTGTTGCAATGACTATCAAGTCAATCACCCTCAACCTCACAAACACATGCAATGGAAGTTCACATGAGAATTCGCGATAGAAACCAGTAGCCGAGACACAAGGGTTGCATGAAGGATTGGCACCGAAGTATTATTATTACACAAAGAAAGTGTTAAAGTCTTCCACGGGCTTCGCTGCACATGCAACTTCCACACACGAAACAGGTATGTACACGACTAGGGATCCTCTCTCTCTCTCTCTCTCTCTCTCTCTCTCTCTCTCTCTCTCTCTCTCTCTCTCTCTCTCTCTCTGTGGTCTTGTCTCGCTTATCCGCACAGCCTCTCTCTCCCTCTTTTCTTCCCCTGGATCGTGCCTTGAATACACCTGCCCGGCTCAGACTCGGATGTTGATGGCCATGGACGCCCTGCTTCCCTATCGCTACCCCGGCTATGGTTGACGCTGGGACTCCCTTCTTCTTCGAGCGCAGTGTTGCCCAAGTCGCTTGGTCACACAAGCGCTTCCGCAACTTGACAAATGAACAACTGATGATCGGCTGCACTGTAGGTCCTAAATGTAGGACTCGTAGATGCTTGGCCTGCTTCAGACCGGTACCAGTCAGCAACGGCCTGTGTTGCAATCATTCTGTCGGTCTGGTAGATTCAGGACTTTCCTCGGAATTGCTGCAATTTTGTGGACTTGGGACTGGACTGGACTGGACTGACGTTGGACTTGGACTTTTGAGTCGCGTACCGGAATATTTTACGAGGGCCCAACTTTTCCGTGTGTTGGCCTGGCTTACAGTGCTATCAGCAGACTTCATGCGCTCCCACTTGATTGAAACTGAAATTGATCAGACACTTTTGGAATACTCGTATAAGTGAGAATTTTTTATGTCCACCTGGGCACCCAGCCGCCCTGATCCGACATCATCGAACAGAACAAAGAATGATGTGGCATACTGCCAGAACTGTCTGCTATGGCTGTGCCCAAACTCCCTGCTATCAGTGCTAAGAATGACGCTGCTCAATTCTTTTGCTCAAGCAAAATTTGCCCAATGAGAAATTCATGCACTCTTCTGTTGTGCTTGTCAATGTGACGAACTACCTTTTCCCTGCCCAGGCCTACACTGGCATACCAAACTACCGAAGTCAATAAAATGTTGACAGCTGCAAAATAGCAGAAGACTAATTCCTCACACGGCACAAAGAAAATATGATGCCTCTGGATGTTATGCCACATACCAGATATGGTGCTCCTGTGCCTACAAGTCGTGAGTCAAACTCGTTCACCTCCAGTTGAACCCTTTTCCTTTGCGAGTTAGTGGACAAGGAGAGATTTGTGAATCTTTTCTTGGCCATGAATTGCAGTCATTAGGGGCTCTCATTAGTGGCTGCAAGGCCCAAAGAGTACTCTCCGGATTGGGCACAGTTTGCAGATTGCATTTGCCAGTATGTTTTTGCAACTTCTATAGGACTGGAATTCACGTCCTGTCTATCCTGCTGAACGCCATTAGAATTGTCAGGTTAAGCTTTCTCAATGTTTCCACTCTGCCTGTGTTCTCTCTTTCGGTTGTTCTTTCATACCTACAATGGATGCGCTAATGCCTTTTTTATGTCTTGTTACGGCTTGTTTTCAACATGTTTGTTTTTCAGCTCTCTCTTTTTGCGGAGCTTTTCCAGGAGATGCTTCAAAGGAAATTTGGAATGGCTGTATACAACTCCTTGGTGGTAAGTGTCACTGATGTATGCATGCCATTTCTAAGCATTTTGGGTGCACACACACACACACACACACACACACAGAGAGAGAGAGAGAGAGAGAGATTCTTTCATCTGGTATAAGGTTTGGTGTTGCCGGTGCATATCAGTTGATGATCAATTGAGATGTGTTCTACCTTTTGGTGCGGCGCCTGTGTTTTATAAATTTATACACGGGTGTGATTATCTACCATGGGAGAATCTTTGTACTCGTTATGCTTAGAAATTTATACACGGGATAAAATTTTGATAATGTACCGTGGGAGAACCTTTGCACTCGTTATGTTTAGTTCCTAATAACCTGTGTTTTCACACTTGCAGCTCAAATTCCACGTCATCATTTTCACACTTCTAGCTTATGACATGTTGCGATTTATGTGCACATGGGCTGTGCAACGCGCAATGTACAGATCTGCCAGATATGGTGCTCCTGTGCCTAAAGATGCCCACAAGAAATCCATAGAATCCCACAGAAAATATAGGCAATGTAAAAGGTATTTTGAGCACTGTGCGGCTTGGACGCGACCTGTTTGAATTGATCAGGAACAATTTTTTGTTTTCCTACTGGCCATGGTAAGCAAAAAAGGATAGAGTCTCATATGTTTTTTGATTCTTTGATTGATTTAATATTTTTTTTGTTCTCTGGTATTCTCCTAATGGAGCGTTTTTTTATGGATTCACTTTTTATGTCTCTGCTGATCTCTGCTTTCTGTTCCTTGTCCTCTTGGTGAAGGCTTTGCGCGAAGGACTTCGTTACAAGAGAAGGGACGAAAGGAAGCGCCCCCGGGAAACCAAGTCAGAGCTGGCAGCAGGGAGGAAAAAGACGAAGTTTGACATTGAGCCAGTGGAGGAGGTCAAGGCTGAAGGAAAAAGTGACAAGGCAGGGAAGGCGGAGAAGGATGACAAGACAGAGAGTAGTGGAAAAGCCACAGAGAACACGGAAAACGTTGGCGCCCAGGAGAATGGTTCGGTGGATGCAGAGAATGCAAAGGAAACAGACACAAAGAAGGACACTGATGTGGAGATGTTGGATCCGGCAAAGCGCCCTCAAAAGGAGGAGGATAAGAAAAAGGATGAGAAGAAAGAGAAGGAGGTCCCAGCAAAGGTTAGCCTCAGCTTTTCCATAAAGTCATGTTGTGCATGACCTTTTCTTTAAGCAAATAAAGTTTAATAAACCATTCTTGGACTGTTAAGAAAAAAGATGTTGCACAGACTGGAGAGTGAGAACTACTCTGGAGGAGTTTGGTTCATCATGCTCTTCGATTTTTGATGCCATGTTTGTGCTGTCTTCGTTGGTTTATTCTGCTGCTTTGTCCTTTCTTGTATTCGTTCCTGTTCCCCGCCCCACAGCAGTTTCCATTCCTCCCACATGCTTGCACATTCCATGCCTGTCCCAGTGTCACCAACATCGCGTCCGTTCTCTTTCCCCCGCTCTTTAATCTGCTTCCATCTCTCCAACTTTGGCCCCTGCTTGTGGACGTTTTCACTGTTATTGCTCTTTTTCATCTGCTTTGGTTTATTCCTCTACTTCATGTTTATTGCTCCCAAACTACTTCCTCTCCCTCTCCTCACGTCCCCCACCTTCTTCCAACCTGAGCTTTCTCATTCCAATCTACTTCAGCACCCTCTCCTCCCTCTACCTCTGCTCGACATTATGACCGCCCTCTCCTCATCTACCTCCTATCCGTTTCCCCCATCTCCCCTTCCTTCACGCCCCTCTACGTTTCCTGTTCTGGTACTCCCCCTGCGTTTCACTCCCCACCACGTTTCTTTCCCTAATTTACCACCTCTCCATTCTTCCATCCCTCTTACCTTCCTAAGGTCCTGCCTATTTCCCACCTCTATCTTGTTCTCTCTAGCATATCACAGCCTTTCTCTACCCATCCCTGTTGCCCATTCTCCCATCCGAGAAGATGGTTTCATTCCTCCCTGCCCCCCCCGCGCCCCGCCGCCTCCCTTTTAAAATTACGTATACTATTATGCATATGAATAAGTACCTAAACCAGGAACCAACATAAATAAACAGAAGTATACGTATACTATTATACATATGAATGAACAAGTACCTAAACCAGGAACCAACATAAATAAACAGAAGTACGTGTATAGTCACACAGACTCTCTCTCTCTCTCTCTCTCTCTCTCTCTCTCTCTCTCTCTCTCTCTCTCTCTCTCTCTCTCTCTCTCTCTCTNTCTCTCTCTCTCTCTCTCTCTCTCTCTCTCTCTCTCTCTCTCTCTCTCTCTCTCTCTCTGTGTGTGTGTGTGTGTGTGTGTGTGTGTGTGTATGTACGGATAAGTTGGCAGATTCTCTAATGAGGAGCTGGTGAATATTTTCTGACAGGATAAGGTTAAAGGATAGTATTTTGACATATTTGGAAAACTTGCGTACGGATGACGTGCAGGTGGAGACCCGGCGTGTTGTTGATTATGATCTAGTGAAGGTATGGGATGCATTTCTCAGAAGTGGCTTCAGAGAGAAATAAAATTTTGGTCAGATCTGGCTGCAAGGAAAAATGAAATTTTGGAAAATCATTTTTCATGCCCGGCCGGGCACCCGGGCGTGCAAAAAAAAAAAGAAAAAGAGAAAGGCCTTTCTGTGCTTTCCCAGAGGACCCCAAATCCGGGATCGTTTCATTTTTTTAGAGTTGGCTGTCAAGGGTGGGAAAGGGGGGTATAAATTGTTTTGAAAAGGGCTAAGAGGTGTTAAAGGGGGTTGTGATTTTGTTATTTTCTTTTTTATCTTCGATTCGGTGAGGAATTCTAATGTGACCCTCAGCCAAAAGTTGTTTGTATTGCAAGTCTACACAACTTTTTTTTTCTGCAACTTTTTACTTTCGCTGTTTTTTTTTTTGGTTTTTTTTTGCGCTGGGGCTGCCCATAACCCGGCGCGGGGGTCATGCCCGGCCGGGCACCCGGGCGTGTATCCGGACACAATTTGGGTGCTCGGGCACCCGGGAAAACAACCTAGTAAGTTTTTTTTTTTTTTTTGAACCACTAGTACATTTGCGGAGTGGGACAATAGCGAGCCTCAAGTGGGCCTTTTACCTTTTAGGAGGCCGAAACGAAGCGACGGCCGCCGATGAGATTTATAAATGGCAGCTGTTGTCGGACACGTCTCCAAACTCTTTGGGAACAGCCCGTTTTCCCTAATTCCCAACACTGACGGGGATTTATCAATGGCAGTCCATGGCTGGTGAGTTCAAGCCCGGTAGCGCCTGAGATGGCCAGCAGCTGCAGACAGGCTGCCTAAGTATCAGGTGCAAAAAGGTGACAAAATCATTGGAAAGGATGCCAGATCTGCAAATCAGAAATAGATCCCTAACACAGAAAAGTCCACACTGAGACCGCCGAAGACCAAACACATTTCTGATCTTAGATTTCACACGGAGACCGAAGGCCAAACACATTTCTGATCTTAGATTTCTGGCATTGTATTATAGTGGACTCCTTCCTCGGCCTTTGAGAACATTTACCTATTCGAGTGGTTGTGCCATCCAAAACTAATTAAAGTGTAACAACTGCCCTGCTGTCTCCACTCCAGCATGGGCTCAGTGAAATTCGGATCTCCGTGAAAATACGGAGTACCAGCGGCTAGATGGTGAGGCTCCGTGGACCTTTACCACTGCCTTCCTTTTACCACAGTGATCTTTCAGCTTCGCACTTTCATTGTTTTGATGCGCAGTGTTGTTCTTTTTCTTCGTATATGTCTTTGGCTGTTTGTAGAATGGCATACCCTTAGGTGAGCTGCTGTCCTGAGTCTGAGTGAAGGCCTTTCAATGCAGCAGACTGAAGGGGCTGTGATCATTTGTTTAGAAGTTACCTCTTTATTTCCTTGGGCAGTTTCTCTGAATAAAACAGGATTGTTTAGTGGTAGGAAGGTACTGTTTGGCAAAAAGAATTTGAGAGAAGAACATAGTGTAGTTTTAAAGGATTGTTCGGATTCTGGTCTATTTGGAAATGGATGCAGCCAAGCAATGGGCAATTCACTATTGTTCTATAATATCTATATTGTGTTTTTTTTTTTAGCCCAAAGTTTCTTTTGTGATTAAATCTAACCGAAAAATATCTTCCATGTTTTGAAAATGTTTGCATGCCATCCTAAAACAATTTGCACTCAGAGAGAAATGCCCATTGCATAATGAACTGGTGCACAGTGCGCACCACATTTGAGAGTCCATAGACGGCCATGGAAACCCAAAAAATATCTTCCATGTTTTTTATTGAACTTCCATGTTTTTCAGTGGACCATTTTCTCGATTTGTGTGTCATCCTCCTCGCACCGGGGCCATGCCAATCTTCTCTGTATCGTTCCAATTTAAAGGATGTATGGAAGGACAGCCATGGAAAACGATTTGCAATGGCTGCGTCCATTTTCAAATATGGTTCTCTCCGGGTTGTGTTTTGCTTGCCTAGAAAAAAGGATGAATGTGGTCTTTCTATCCGCAACCTAGACACTATCCTTCTTGCAGTTAAACCAGCAGCACAGATGAGCGTGGCGGACTTGCACTGAGCACCAAGCTTTGCTGCCGGACTGCCAGTGGCCGTTCTTTTTCCTTTTTGGCTGGCGCAATCAGCAATTTTGGTCCAGTAGCCCCGAACCTCCGAAGTTTTAGGAGCGAGCCATACATTTTCTCAAGTTGCCTGGGGCCGTGTACTGGAGGATCAAGGACGGAGCGTGAGGTAACAGCAGCATAGAAACTTGGCTTAAAACACTAGTACCTTTGAAAGGTTGGGAAAATAGGGACCCTTGCGTGGGCCTCCGATCTTTTAGGAGGCCGAAACGAAACGACGGCGGCCAATGAGATTAATCAACAACGGCCCCCAACTTTTTAGGGCTTTGGGAAAACTGCCAGTTTTCCGTAATTTTCCCTTCGTCAAAGGTACTAGTGATTTAACATTGAAGACTAGGAAGTCTCTGCATGATGCGCAGTGTATTTGTCAGCTCGACTCGGCTGGTCGGTTAGTTGGGATTGGTAATCTCTCAAAATCAGTGAGGCGTGTACCAAACTTTGGGGGATTCTAAAAAGAGGTGGTTATCTCAAACCAGGTCCTCCAAAGTACATCAGGAGAATGCAATTTTTTTTATTTATTATTTTTTTTTTTTTTGTTTTGAAATCAAAGGGTGAAGCAAGTGGCAGCTCTGTATCCCCTCTATGTGGCCGAATTGGTACATCGATGTAGCTGTTGATAAGCATGTCTGAGTTCAGATTTTTTTTTTTTTTTTTTTTTTTTTAATAATTTGGACCATTTCTCGATTTATGTGTGTCATCCTTGCGCAGGGGCATGCTAATCTTCTCTGTATCGTTCCAATTTTAACGGATGTCCCGAAGGACATCTGAGTTCAGATTCTGACGGGAGGACATAAACAAAATAACTCTGTATTACTTGGGGCCGATCAAGGCTGTGGACAACAAAAAAAAAGGAGAAGGCATGTCTAACAAAAAAAGGAGAAGGCATGTCTGTTCTATTTTGTGCAATGTAGCTGGGGGTCCATTTGCAGCCTGAAACGTAGTTTACAGTTTTGGAAGCTTATTTAAGGCTTAAGGACTGTGCTGCAGTAGCTGTGGGATGTTGACGCTTTGCAAGTCTTTTTTTTTTTTTTTTTTTGAATGTTGGTGTGATTTTAGACTGGAAACTGTCTGGTTTACATGCTGACCATAGCTACTCTATCCTTGGATATGTCTTTTCTCTGTTTAATAAACAGGCTTATTACTACTTCGACAAGAACCGAGTTGGGTATCTCAAGGTATGATGATATCAGGAATCTCGTCTAATCTACAGGAGAGAAGAATCAGTTGAAGCATGGAAGCTTAAAGTTTGAATTTCGATTTTTAACAGGGCTACCCTCCCACGATGAAACAACACAAACATTTCGCGTCCACAACCACACACCTAACACACACCTTCCCTTCTGCACATGTTCAGAACTGTAGCAGTCTGTGTGTGTGCATACGTGTGTTTCCGTGTGTCCAAGCTGAACGCACACACACACACACACACACACACACACACACACACACACACACACACACACACACACAGAGAGAGCATTTGTGCACACCAGCTGTCCTCACATCGCAGTCCACAGACTGTTCAGAACTGGAGCAGTCTGTGTGTGCATACCACCTGTCCTCACATCGCAGGCCACAGAGAGAAAGAGAGTGCATGCATATGTTTGCGTGTGTGCGATGCACATAGAGAGAGAGAGAGAGAGAGAGAGAGAGAGCATTGCAGTCCATAGACTGTTAGAGCTGGAGCAGTCTGTGTGTGTGCGATGCACAAAGAGAGAGAGAGAGAGAGAGAGAGAGAGAGAGTTTGAGTTTGTGCACATCATTTTGGCTCACAGCACAGTCCAGGCACTTGGAGAAAGGGGAGATCAGAAGCGCACTCCTATGTAATATATTGATTTTCCAAACGGCCTAGACTGCACGTCTTGCCAAGGTGGTGACATGCCCGTATCATGTCTACATCAGGCCATGCTGCAGATCGAAGTTTGATACCAGGGTAACTTGTTCACATTATGGCATTGAAGCTCCCAATTGCAGTCTGAAAGGGTCAACTGTGTTTTCCGATCTGTTGAAAAAGGATCACATAGACTTGAGTCACTTGACTGCACTGATTTGGGAGTATCGTCATGGCTACGATACCGTCCTATCTCCAGTAGTTTAGAAGAAGCATCTGGCAAGCTACCGTCTTTCCCCGAATAGAACATAAGGTCATCATGGCTGTATTTAGGGTGGGGTTGGATGATCTCATCTGACTTAGCATTCATATAAGCCATTAAGAAGAATCTTGTGATCTTGTGATCGTTGTGGTCATAACTGGAGTTCTTCCCCGTTTACTTCGCTTTACTGATGATGTTCTATGGCATGCCTGCTTGGTCATTTTTTCTTGCAGCTGGACGACCTGAGGCGGCTGCTGCACGCCCTCGGATTGTTTTTGTCACACAGAAATGTCAAGGTAAGGACATTGCCAGTCTTGGGGAAAAAAAAAAAAAAAAACTTGTGTTTGTCCGACTTTCCCAGTGTAAGCTTGTCTCTGCCATGATTCTGTTTTTTTGGCACCAGACACGAGTTTGGATAAAGAGACAGCCATGGTCTTCGCAATTTGTGTGGGTGGCTCGTTCTCGTTCTCGAACCAGGGGCCTAACTTGTACTCGGACGGCAGATTAATTGGAACTAGAGCAAAGAAGGTGAATAAAGTTAAGTGCCTATGTTCGCCAATCAAACTTGGATATAGCTGGTTTTCAGCGACGTCTATTGAGGTAGGATGTGTGACAGTGTCTTCAAAATGTGATACAGTCCGGATAGCGCAAAATGCGACAGAGTTTTCAAAATGTGTCGTAATCCGTAGAACGCAAAATGTGATGAAGTCCGTAGAGAACGAAAAGTGACCGAATCTTCAAAACAAATGTCTAGTGGCGTGATCAAAGCGGATTATCATAAATTTTGTCCTCCGCAGCATTCTCAAATGAAACGTTCCATGTAATCCTTAAATCGCCAGTACCTTACCCAGCTATGGGCTGCGGGCACTGCACACCGAGTTTTGGCGGCGCATCTGGCCGCCGCCGGAGGCCGAGTGCGACCTCCGTGTTAACCGTTGCGTTTTGGCAATTTGGCTGGGAAAGGTACTGGTGGTTTTAAGTCATTTAATTCAATGAAGTTCAATCTGTTCACATACATTCTCTCTTTCTGAAAGAGCTTGCTAAGGCCACTGATTAAAGGAGGAAGCACTTTCCTGATGGAGGTGGTTTTCAAATAGGTCTTTTCAAATTGCTGTTGAAGGATGTGGAAGGGCTAGTCTCTTCTGATGTGTCTGGTTCCGATGATTCAATTTCAGCGTTTCGCTCTAAATTCTGAATTTTGTTGTGGCAGAAAACTTACACAAATGAGGAACCAGCCAGTGCAGTCCTCTTCAGAGTAATTGTTCTTCCTGTAGATATGAAGTACAGTGTCTTTCATTGGGAAGTCATGTTTCAAAATGCAGCACCATCATCGTAGACTGAACCTTTTGTCTCATCAAACTGGGTGTACTCTTAACAGCACCAGTACCTCGAACTCTCATGTTGCCATGAGAGGGACCCATCTTGAGCCCACACAATAAATCCAAGAACTCCAATCTTGAGCCCATCATGAGTTGACAGTCCGATTGAGCCTCTCGTAAAATGTCGGAGTCTTGCGTGCCATGGATAAAATTAATTGGCGGCGGAGGCCGAGAGCGCCGTCGGTAAAATAAATCGACGGCAGGCGGTTTCAGAAAGGGGATGGTGGCCGATGACTCGCATGTACTAGTGGTATTAAACTACTAGTACCTCCGAGCCGGTTTTTGCCGAACTTGAATTTCACTGTGCCGAGCCTGGGTGCCACTCCGATTCCCTCCTGGTACTCTCACGGAAAGAACTAAACAAACAGGAAAAAAAATAAAAGTTGCAGCCATGAAACTCACAAAAGAAGAACAGCAAGAAAGGAAACAAAGCTTTGGCCGTGATTGCAGTTTGTATACGTTCCTGGAAGTGGTAGTGTGAGTGTGGCCTCAGTGAGGGCATCTCAGCCCCTGGCCAGGTTGTCAAATTCCAGAAAGACTAGAAAAACAAAGAAACGGAAACATGGATTCGGCCGTGAAACCAGCTGGACTCATTCCTCTGAAGTGCCAGTGTGATCAGCATCACAATCCTCTGAGGAAACACAGCTTGCGCAGAGCACGGATTCCACTGTCAGATTCCAGAAAGAGAAAGAAGAAAGGGAAAAAAAATTGGAGAGGGATTTGCACGTGAAAACGGCTGGATACATACCTCGGCCGCGTTGGCAGGGGACTCTTGAACATCCGAGAAATAAAAAAAATAAAAAAACACTTCTCATTCTGAGACCGTGTTTGCCGTAAGATGATTTCTATAGAGGAAGAGTGTGAGCACGGCCTCCTAGCCCAACATCATTGCAGGACAGAAAGCAATTCCTCTCCCCCCCCCTCCCTCACCTTTTCCTTTCATTCGCGGGCAAAAGAAAACTAAGATTTATGAGACTTGGTGGCCCTGGGTCCCACCCCCGATTTCTTCGGGAACCGGCAAAAACTTGCAACTTCCCAACACTGGCAGAGGTACTAGTTGTTTCTGAAGGGATTGTGGATCTAAGTATCTTACTTAGAGGTAATAAACGAGCTCAAAACGGTGAAGGCATAAATTACAAGGTCAAGTTAACGCCGTGGTAAGAACCTATTCTGAAGTCAAACGTGCTTAATATAAAAGAAAGACCAATGACTTAAACCACGAGTACTTTGACGGTTCGAAAATACTCGGCCTCCGACCTTTCAGGAGGCCGAAACGAAACGATGGCTTCCGATCAGATTTATCAACGGCAGGCTCAGCCTCCTAAGTTCCGGTGCTGGCCTCGACTTGTCGAAAATAGGCTAGGAGGCACTGGTGGTTTAAACAATGTGTGGGCAACACTGGCAGAGGTATGTTTCTGTAGGGATTGTGGCAATAAGTATCTTACAAACGATGTGTGGGCAAATCAGTCTGTCTGTCAGAAGATGGTGTGAACTTAAATGTGCGAGTTGTGCATGGTTGTCCCGTCTTGGGACTGCCACAAGAACTAGTTATACTCGAAACCACCAGCACTTGGCCCAGCTATCGATGCCTAGCCTGGAATGCCCCTGCATGCCAATTTTTGCCGAAGCGCTGGTGTACCGTTTCAATTTTTTTTTGGCTGGCGCATCCAGCCGTTGTGGTCTGGTTCCCCGAAGCCCTAAAGGCGCGGCTCGTTAACGGGAAAGCGCCGCGGCTGATAGCTGGGGCCAAGTATTGGTGGTTTAGGAGGCCACATCGAAGCGACGCGGTCCAGTCCCCATGGAACAGGGAGCCTGGTGAAAAACAGGAGGTCACGAAAACCACTGGGAGACGTTTTTCGGGTGAAAAGCTGGAGGCCATGAACATGCCCCCCCCTCCTTGCATGCCTCTGCGTGGCTGTGGTGGATACCTCAGCTTCTGCAAATGTGGATGGATGAGTACTGAAAGTTGTTGCTCAGTATAGAGAGGTCATGCCCCAAAGTTACACATAGTGCAGGTGGTGTGCCTGCAGAAAGTTGCATCAGTGCTCAAGACACAGCTCCTGGAGGTTGGGTCAGGTAAAACAAGTAGTAGTGTGCATCCAAAAGTACTCGAACAGCATAAGCACGAACACCACAAGGTAGAAGTCGACCATGATGATCAGCACAACGGCATGAGAGGTACTTCGGAGGATTGGGTAGGCCAGTGGCAGATCGTTGCTAGCCAGTGAATGTGCAATTGGTGCGAAGTTGTTTTGATTTTTAACGAAGTTCAGATCACGAGATAGAGAACGGTTTGGAAATGTGCAAATCACAAGGCTTCTCACCTGGATTCATTCTCAGTTCTGAGTTCCATCTTGCTATTTGCTGTGATGTGCGTTGCAGGATCTCGTGTCATATGCCATCGCGGAATCAAGCAAGTCTCGTGATGATCGGATTATGTATAGGGCTTTCATAGACAGGGATGAACCTGTTGAAGTGAAGAAAGGAGTCTGAGAATTCTCTGCCATGTCTAGGGACAGTACTGCGAAGAACTTCCAGAGTTTCGTTCACCGGTGAGGTAGGCCAATTATAGAGTAGCAAGTAGCTCTGACATTGAGAGGGAACAGATACTGACAGAACATGATTACAAACTCAGGCACACATGTTGAGGTTTGGATGCTCATCAACTAGACTGTCATCATGTTGAAGTGGATGCCGCCTGACCAGAATGCCATGGAAAGGAAAGCCGAACACTGGTGTTCGACGAGCTCGTTGTTGTATCTACATAGGCCAAAATGCAGTTGAACAGAGGGTATGCCTTGTGTCATGGGTAGCCATCCACCCGGCTCTCCGTGATCGGCGGCGTGATAAGAGGCGCAGGTGCCATTCCGCCTTGGTGGGGTTTTGGAGAAAGGTTGTGGGTGTTTCCATAGTCCATTTTTGTCCATGTGTGTCCAGTAGTGTGCCATTGATAGCCCCTGTAAATCCAAGCTGGCGTCTGTCGGTGGCCTACCGATTCGTAGGGAGGTCCTCTGGAGCAAGCTTGCTTCCACTCCAGAGTCTCTCATGGTTGAGACATCGAGCAGCCTCCTCCTCTGGAGCTTCCACTCTATATACCAGTGGAGACAGGACGAGGGATTGTTTGAGCTTGTCACGAGGTCAAACGCACAATAGGTCAGCTCTACGCTCGTCTTGGGCGGTTGGCCATGTGGCTGGCTGGCCGCTTGTGCACGCACGATTTGCTTTGGGCCGTGTGTAGCTGAGCGGCGCCTGCAGAGTTCCGAGCTGGGTCCGCTGGAGCAAGCGTTCTTCCACTTAACAGTGGCCTGGTCAAGATGGCGAGCAGCCTCCTCCCCAAGCTTCCCCTCTATGCCATTTGAGCCTAGATGAGGGATTGTTGTTTGATCTTGTCACTACGTCAAAACATACTAGGGCGGGCGGGTTTACCCTCGTCTTGGCCAGTTGGCCATGTGGCTGCCCACTTGTGTATGTCTGGTTTGCTTTTGGCCGCTGTAGTCGAGCGGTGGCCGCCAAGTTCCTACAATGGTAATTAGAGCAGCTTGTCATGATTTACGGTTGTCGTAAAATCCAGGGAAGTCGCTGGCTGTTGGTGGTGTTGATGGATGTGCTCCTCCCTTTGTCGAGCTGTCTTGCCAGTCTCGTGTTTGAGCCAGACAGCATTTTGATCTGTGGCATGGGTCAAGAGCCCTCTTGTTGCACAAGCAAGGATGTGGTCTCTGGATGTAACTAGATGTTGAAGTTAACTTTTTGGTGCACTGTCTATCATATCATACCTGTTGTGCAATTTCTATGGTCCGGGGTAAATGCTATTTTTGCTCGCCAGGTTGTAATCTCCAAGGCCCAGCTTTGAAATCTATCCTGCACGTCAAAATTTTGACCCCTCAGTAACCTCTCTCTCTCTCTCTCTCTCTCTCTCTCTCTCTCTCTCTCCTGTCTCTTATACACATCTAGATGTGTATAAGAGACAGGTCTACAACCCCCACGACTCGAATGGGAGCCGCTTCGTTCCCGGCCTTTTCCGACCCGAGCACTTCCTCCCGCTTTTTTTTCCCCTGACCGCTC